TTTTCCTTTCCCTAGTCTGTAAAATGTCAAAATTTTTATTTTTTAGTGTTTTAAATGCACATCTCCTTTTCCCTGAAGATGACACTCATATTCAGTGTGGACATATTTGTGAGTGTACCAATAAGTCTCTCTCTCTATTTTCCCATTTGTTGTTCTAATTCCACTGACAATTTGACCTATTTGGTTCAATCCTAGGAGGTTCTCATTCAGGGAAAATCAGTCCTTCTAAATCTCCCTGTTTTATTTGCCCGTCTTGAAGGATATAGATGAAACTAGAGGTTACACCCCATGGCAACTTATTAAAATCTCTGGATAACATCATAGTGTCCAAAAATGTTTTCCTTGATTTATGTCATGTCATCCCTATCCTCTCTCTCACACTCTTTTCTCTCAACTCTGCTTCTTGCTCCCTCTCTTCTAGTCCACCCGGCTGCCCTGTCAGCCAGTAGCTCTCTTTGCTCTCCTTTAGATAATCACTCAGTCAGCTTTTGTTCTTTCTATACCATCTGCATTCTGGGGACTCTATTACATGAAATCGAAGTATTACTCAGGCCATGTTGCAGGGGCTGGGAGAGAAAGAAAACAAAGCAGGCAAAGCAAAGGCATTATATTTTAATAGTTTAGTCCTATCACAATTACACTTCTTTGTAGGGTGGGGTCAGGCTTCTCCTTGTAATTGTGATTTTGGTCATTATAAGGAAAATTATGGGGATGCTTAGAGATCAGGTAGTTCACCTCTCTAATTAAATAGATGTCCAAATAGGTGTGACTTGCCCATAGTCACACTGTTAAGTGGTTAAGCTGGACCTTCTGACCCAGAGGTCAGGATGTCTTCTAGTACTCTACACTGTTTAAATGCACAGTGGAGTGCCTCCTACAATATATGTATCAGGTAAATATGGAGCTAAAAAACTAAGATGTGGCTTAATGATTTAAATTAAAGTAGGGAATCCTTCTCCCCACCACGTTATGACAAAAGGAACAGATGGAGCAGTAAATAAGATTGGTCTGCAGCTCTGCTTATGCTATATAGTTAGAATGTTTGGTCATGAATCACCTGGGAGTCTAAAATAATATTCTGTTTTAAAGATATAATACGTCTTTAAAATGAAGATGTGTCTTTTAGTTTTTACTGGCTGTGCTTTAATAGCAATGAAAGTAGTAACAATAATACTGACCGCTACCATTACTGATTGCACTGTTTGACAGACCTCTCATGAAACACGTTATTCTCTTATTCAATCTAATTTTCAAATTAACCATGAAATATGAGTTTATGCAGCTACTTTACAGATTAGGAAACTGAGGTTCAGAGCAATGAGATAATTTATTGATACTCGGTAAGTAGCAGTCAAAATTCAAACCCAAGTGTGTCTATCTTCAAGAGGGTATGCTTTTACTGTCATACAGAGCAGAAGGTAACAGTGCCTACTTTATTCTGCCTTGTCATATATGTAGGTATACCTCAAAGATATTAGGAGTTTGATTTCAGACTACTGGAATAAAGTAGATATCACAATAAAACTCATCTGTAAGAAGCAACTTCTCATCCATTCAAGTTTTATCAAGATATTGAAGCAATTCAGTCACATCGTCAAGTTCCACGTCTAATTCCAGTTCTCTTGTTACTTCCACCATATCTTCAGTGACTTTCTCCACTGAAGTCTTAAACCCCTCCAAGTCATCAGCGAGGGTTAGAATCAACTTCTTCCAAACTCCTGTTAATGTTGCTATTTTAACCTCCCAGGAATCGCGAGTTTTCTTAATGGCATCTAGAATACTGAATTCTTTCCAGAAGCCTTTGGTTTACTTTGCCTAGACCCATCAAATGAATCACTGTCAATAATGGCCATAGCCTTAAGAAATGTGTTTCTGAAATAATAAGACTTGAAGCTCAAAATTACTCCTCGATCTTCTGGTTGCAAAATGGATGTTGTGTTAGCAGGCATGAAAACAACGTTCATCTTCTTGTATCTCCATCAGAACTCTTAGGTGATTAAGTATATCGCCAATGAGCACTAATATTGGGATCTTGCTCTGGATTAGGCTTGGCCTAGCATTTATCCTTAGTGGAATGAAAAGCCACTGTGGATTTTCATTAGAGAAATGACACAGTCAGATATGGTTAGGAAGTGTGCTTATTGGTGGAGGTAGTAGAGGATAGAAAGGCAGGGTGGGGCATTGGGAAGGGACATGGGAGACTACAGGCAGGGCCCTAGGGGAGAATTTCTGTAATCTAGGTAAAGGGAGAGGAGAGTTGAAACTGAGGCCTCTGAAAGGGAAAAGAGAAAACAGGAGGTGAGAAATGGTTTTATAAGGTTTGAAACAGGTTCCCTTGCCTGCCATATTGTTTGCTCCATTGACATCTGGCTCAGCCCCTTGCTCAGAGAGATGTTATAGCATGTGCAGCCTATTGAAAAAGAAAAAGAAAAAAAAAAGCCCAAAATGAAATGAGTCACACACAACTATGAGCAAGAAAGAATCAACCAAATCCCTTTACTCAGGGATCTGAGTAAAGCCAAGAAGGAAGAGACAGTCTTATCTTTTTCTTTTTACCTTAAGCTTTCTGTCCCTTTCTTCTTTTCAATCTCTCACTCTACCTTCTCTTATTCTTTTCTCTGACTCTGTGACTTTAACAGTTCACCATGACTAAAGGTCTCAGGAAGACAGAGTAGGGAGCTAAACCTGAAATTACAGTGCTGCTCAACTTTAGGATGCGCTCATTGCTAAGCTGGGCCTTTAGCAAAAGAACGGCTTCTTGACACACTGCATGCAGGGGAAGGGTGGCTTAGAGAAGTTCAGCATTGGCTTCCACAATATTACTTGAAAAAGTCTAAAAACTGCTTTAGAAAATGAAGGAGAAAAAATAACCCACCATCTTTTTCTCCTATTATTTTCTTACAACAAGGGACCCTTCGGTGACAAATGTGTAGGAGTTTTGCCTCACACACTCATCAAGAAATCAGTTCTACAGTGGACACCAATGGGGTGTCGTCTCAATTCGATTCCGAAATGACCTACCTGAAGGTAGACTCAGATCCCACAAACTGAGTAATCGGTCCCATGACTGCCCCCTACTTCAGATGCCTGTTGCACGTTCAGGCCTTTGGAATTTCTGACTGGCTGGCTATAAATTGGGATTCCTACAACCCCTTTAACGTTTGGGTTTGATTAATTTGCTAAACTGCTCACAGAACTCAGGTAAACACTTTACTTTTGTTTACCCATTTATTATAAGGGATACATGAAAGGATACAAATGAGCAGCCAAAGAAAGAAGGTCTGGAAGGGTCCCAAGCCCAGGAGTCTCTGTCCCTGTGGAGTTGGAGTGTGCCACCCTCCCAGCAGGTTAATGTATTCTTGTTCACCAATTTGGAAGCTCCCTGAACTCAGTTCTTTTGGTACTTTATGGAGGCTTCATTATGTAGGCATAATTGATTAAATCATTGGCCACTGGTATTCAACGTAACCTTCAGCCCCTCTCCCGCTCGGGATGCAAGGTGGGGTGTGGGGCCGGGAGTTTCAACCCTCTAAGCACATGGTTAGTTCCCCTGGCAACCAGCCCTTCATCCTGTAGTTATCTAGGGATTTTCCAAAAATCACCTCATTAACATAGTCTCAGGTGCGGTTGAAAGGGCTTGTTATAAATAACAGAAAGCCTGGTTTCACCTTCATCACTCTGGAGCTGTTTCTGGAATCGAGAACAAAAGGCCAAATAGTTTAACAAAAAATATCCTTATCATTCTAGTTACTCAGGAAATTATAAACACTATAGGAAGCATGGACAAAGCCAAAAATATATATTTTATAATATCACAGATATGGTCTATGTTTTTCCATTGATATGCCACTATTTGTTTGAACCCAGACCTGTTAAATTGCTGTGAAGCTAATGGCCTTCTATTGATAATAGACCTAAAAGATTCTCGAATTATGCAACCCCCATTGCCAAAAGCTTTCGAGTGGCCTTTTGAGCAAAATGAAGAAAAACTGCATATAGGTTCACATTCATTTTCCAATGTAAACTGCCATTTTATTAAAAATGGAGTTTATAGCAGGGAAATCATAATTTAAATTAATGAATCCTCAAATGATACTTGTTATTGCTAATTATTTTCTAATATAATATAAAATATCTGAGTTCATAAATAGCATTCTCTTCTTATTCAGGAAGAGCCATGCTCAGCAATGTGTTATTCATGACTTAATTATTCTATAGATGCTTCATTCATATGCATGGAGATATATCTGGCAGCATTGCATTTTAATGAAGATGCTGAAAGGCAGCAGGCTATAATTTCTGACAGAGGATTCTGTCAGGACTGAACAATAGGAGCTCCTGAAGAGGACTAGGAAATAACACAGCCCAGAAAGAAAATTAAAAACCCATTTAAATATTTTAATTATAATCTTCATTAGGGACATTTTGAAATCCTTGTGCATATCAGAGCTTCTATGATTTAGAAGCTATTTTCACTGGAAGTGAATAATTTTTAGGAAGGGAAATATTTTCAAGATTTCATGAGTTGAGACACAGCCTATCCCTAGGGGAGCACAGGACCTGGTTTCTATGCTCATTCCCTGCCCCTTTTTAGGCTGACTTGTCTTTATTGAAGTAGTAATGGGGTAAAATGACCAGGCTGTTCAATCTTGCAAAAGACAAGAAAAGGAGGAAGGGGAGGAGAGTCTTTGTGTGTGCGTGTGTGTGTGCACGGGCGCACACCAGTGCGCCTCCTATACATAGAATGTGAGGTTTAGGATGTTAGCACTGGCTGGCTGTGCCTCCAGCTTTCATCCTTGGACCCTCCAGAAAACTCAGGTTAAGTAGAAACAATGAAGACCTGTTTCAACAATAGGGACTGCCACAGTTTTATTATGGTTTCTCTTTCTCATCTTCTCAGAGAGAGAGGAATGTCGGAAAAATAGTAGAATTGTTAAAAGCAAGTGCAATCAGCTAAGTAAATAAAAAAGCAGGTAATAATTACACTTTTTCGGTTACAGAATACAAGTGTTGGAAACAGATGCCTTGTGCCCCTAAGAAAAATCAGCACTATGACAGAGGATCTCTCAGCAAGAAAGTTTTACTTCCGGGACTGCAGGAAAGGTACTCTTGCTAGCCATCTTGCCACAGAGTACAACAAGCAAAGGAAAGCAGACATATTTATTCCTTATGCATTTGGCGTTGTCCTTACAGCTGTGTCTGACCTCTGTTGGCTGGAGCCAGACCTCAAAACCTAAACTAAAACCTTATTGGCGAACAACTTAAAACTTTTCTAAACAGGTAAAAGCACGTTCAGAACAGGTATCATGGTTAAAATACAAGGACGTAGAATGTACTTTGTGCCTGTAAACATGGTGTGTCCAACAGCTACATAGGACAGGGCTTAACAAAGAGTTATTAGCCCACTTACGATTTATTCTTTAACAAGAAAGGAAACTTTAAAAATGAACTTTTCTACTTCCCACACAAGCAAAAAGAAACCTCCCGCTACACTCAAGTATTTTAGGGTAGCTATGAATATGCAGGGGATGGGGCATCCAGGGCACTGTGGGAGGTGTGGTATTTTCTGGAAGGGTGAGGAGCAAGAGGAGATGCTGTCCAGGCACTGCCCTGGGTTTCCTCCTACTCCGTTGAAGCTGCTCTTGTTACGCTTGCCTGTGTACCTTGCATCTCCACATCCACTGCACACTTTGCTGTCTTCTTATTCCATCACTTAGCCGCGTTCAACGCACATGGCAACCTCCTCTTTCTGCAAACATGCTGCTCTTGTGACACTTGCGATAACATACAGTCCTGCTTCTCAGCCTTCTTGCCTTCTCTTTTTAAAATGTTGACCATTGATAAGCAGAATTTAAAATTTTTTTGCGTACATTTTTAATCCCTTAGTGTATTGTATACATCTTAGATGCATACAACTCTTCCTTAGGCTGGGCACGGTGGCTCATGCCTGTAATCCCAGCACTTTAGGAGTCTGAGGACAGCAGATGACTTGAGGTCAGGAGTTCGAGACCAGCCTGGCCAACATGGCAAAACCCTGTCTCTACTAAAAACACAGAAATTAGCCAGGTGTGGTGCTCACGCCTATAGTCCTAGCTACTCAGGTGGCTGAGGCAGGAGAATTGCTTGAACCCCTGGAGGCAGAGGTTGAAGAGAATGGAGATCATGCCACTGTAATCCAGGCTGGGTGACAGAGTCAGACTCTGTATCAAACAAAGAAAGAAAAATTCTTCTTTACTTCAAGCTCATGAAGTTTTTCTAAAACTTCTTGTAAGCATTTAAAGTTCCTATTTTCTTGTCATGTTTTAAGGTAGAGATCTGAAACTCATGTTGAAACTTAATCCCGAGCATGGCAGTATGGTGCCTTTAAGAGGTGATTGGGACCCTGCACCGCGGCTCACACCTGTAATCCCAGCACTTTAGCAGGACGAAGCAGGTGGATTGCTTGAGCCCAGGAGTTCAAGACCAGTCTGGGCAACATGGTGAAACCCATCTCTACAAAACATAAAAAATTAGGCAGGCATGGTGGTTGCACCCTTGTAGTTCCAGCTAACTGGAGACTGAGATGGGAGGATCACTTGAGCTTGGGAGGTTGAAGCTGGAGTGATTCTGTCATAGCACTGCAGCCTGAGAGCTGTGGATGAAAGAATAAGACCCTGTCTCAAAAAATAAAATAAATAAAAATAAGTACATTTTAAAAAAAAGAAGTGATTGGGTCAGGAGGGTTCTGGTTTAATCCATTTATGGATTAATTAATGGATTAATGGGTTTCATAAGTTATCAGAGAGTGGAACTCGTGGCTTTAAAAGAAGAAGAGACACCTGATCTAACACACTCAGACCCTCTTGCCATGTGATGCCCTGCACCACCTCTGGACTCTGCAGAGAATTCCCACCAGCAAAAAGATCCTCACAAGATAAATCTCCTTGTCCTTGGACTTCTCATCCTCCACAAATGTAAGAGGCAAATTCCTTTTCTTTGGGAATTACCCACTTTCAAACAATCTGTTATAAGCAACAGAAACAGACTAAGACAAGATCCAAGCTTTTTATTCTATATACATAACTATTTGTCCCAAAATGATGGTGGAAAAATTGTGGAATAAGACCTAACAATTTAAGAAGGGCAATATTGTAGCTAACCTGAGGCCATGATGTTGCTCAGGAAACCAAGAAACTGACAGACCAGCCAGAAAATTAAAAGGGAAATCTAGAGATGGAGATAGTGATAGTGGGCTTCGCAAGTGTTCACTTCTCCGTGGCAACTTGGAAGGCTGTACACATGCTCAAGGACATGCGTAGACATAGGATGGATCAGATGGGGTCTGGCTGTCTACCTGTGCCTTATGTACATGAAGCCTTGAGTATGCAGAAAGTATAAACCAGGGTAGACTTGTAAATTGTCTCAAATTACATTGCTTTTTAATTTTTGAGCTAGGGTCTCACTTTGTTACTAAGCCTGGAGTGTAGTGGCACAAACATGGCTGAGGACCCCCTCTCCCTACTGGGCTCAAGCTATCCTCCCACCTCTGTATCCTGAGTAGCTGTAACTACAGGTGCACATCACCATGCCTGGCTAATTTCATATTGTATTTTTTTGTAGAAACAAGGAATCACTGCTGGGCATGGTGGCTTAAGCCTGTTAATCCCAGCACTTAGGGAAGCAGAGGTGGAGGATAGTATGAGCCTAGGAGTTTGAGACCTAGAAAAATAAATAAATAAATAAATAAATAAATAAATAAATAAATAAATAAATAGAGTCTCACTATGTTTCCCAGACTGGTCTTAAACTGCTAGTCTCAAGTGATCCTCCTGCCTTGGCTTCCTAAAGTGCTGAGATTATAGGGTGTGAGCCATCACACCAAGACTTGATTACATTCCTTAAACACACAGATTTATTTGCAAAGTGTAGAAAGCTTACTAGATCAATATGTTTATGTGCAACCTCTGATCAATTTTTGGCTGACCCCCATTAAGCTGTGCTAATCCAGGAGTGACTCATGAGAAGCCAGATTTAAACATTAAACAAAAATCTTTTTTAAAAAGGAACTTGAGCAGAAACAACAGGGGCCGTGCACTGTTATGAGATACATTCCACAGAATTAATCAGGCAAGTCATTAAGCAAATCAAAAATTAGTAACAGCAACCAACGCTGGGGGGGAAACAAATCCAGAGTTACTAAAATGTCCAATTAAAGAAATTACATGCAAAAAAATGGGAAAGTATGGCCACACACAGAAAGAAAAACAATGGAAACTGTTTCTGAAGGGACCGGTGTTAGATTTGGTGGAGCAAGACTTCAAAATAACTAGTATAGATATGTTTAAAAATATAAAGGAAACAATATTTAAAAACTAAAGGAAAGTAAAATAATAATAAATAATTAAGTAGAGAATACAAATCAAGAGATGAAGATTATTTTAACAATGGAATAGAAATTCTGAAGTTGAAATACACAGTAATTAAAATAATAAATTCATTACTGGGTTTCAATAGCAGGGTTCAGCTGGCCAAATAAAACAAATGGGTGAAATCAATGATAGATTGAGAATTATAAGAAATTACAGAAAGAACAATGAAGAAAAATAAAGAGTCTCAGAGACCTGAGGAACATCATCAAGTGACCCAGCATAAGTTCCCAGAAGTAAAGAAAAGAAAAAAAGTGAAGAAAAGATACTTAAGAAATAATGGCTGTAATCCCAGCACTTTGGGAGGCTGAGGCGGGTGGATCATGAGGTCAAGAGATTGAGACCATCCTGGTCAACATGGTGAAACCCCGTCTCTACTAAAAATACAAAAAAGTTAGCTGGGCATGGTGGCGCGTGCCTGTAATCCCAGCTACTCAGGAGGCTGAGGCAGGAGAATTGCCTGAACCCAGGAAGTGGAGGTTGCGGTGAGCCGAGATCGCGCCATTGCACTCCAGCCTGGGTAACAAGAGGGAAACTCGTCTCAAAAAAGAAAGAAAAAAAGAAAGAATGGCTGAAAAGAGCTAAAATATATAGAGTAAAAAGTATCTATACCAGTCTGCTCAGGTGACCATAATAAAATATCGTAAATGAGTGGACTATACAATAGACATTGATTTCTCACAGTTCTGGAGGCTGGAATTATAAGACTAATGTGTTGGCAGACTTGGTTTCTAAAGGGCCCTCTTCCTGGTTTAGAGACAGCCACTTATGGATAGACATGGCAGAGAAAAAGCTCTGGTGTCTCTTTCTCTTTTTATAAGAACATTAATCCCATTATGGAGGCTTCACCCTCATGATCTCGTCCAAATCTAATTAACTTTCAAAGGTCCCACCTCCAAATGTTTATATATAAGCAAGGGAGAAGGTTAACATGATCACATCCAGGGTTAGATCTTCAACATATGAATTTTGGGGGGACACAAAAATTCAGTAAATAACAGTGTCCAACAAATGAATATAAATGGTGCAGTAGAAAATATTTATGTAGTACAACAAAGACAGTGAAAGAGGAACATAGAAACAAAAAAGGCACGATATATAGTGACACAAATAGCAAAATAGCAGAAATCAAAACAAGTAAGATTTTGACAAATAAGTTGAAAGTAAAAGCATGGAAAATATATATGTTAGGATGGCCAAAATCTGAAATGCTGGCAATACCAATTGCTGTTGAGAATGCAACAGGAATTCTCATTCATTGTTGGTGGGAATACAAAATGCTACACTTTGGCAGTTTCTTGCAAAACTAAGGATACCACAGAAGCCAGTAATCGTGCACCTAGGTATTTACCTAACTGATTTGAAAACTGCTGTTCACACAAAACATGTCACATAAATATTTATAATTGTTTTATTTATAATCACCAAAACCGGGAGTAATCAAGATGTCCTTCAGTAGGTGAACAGATAAACTCTGGTATATCCATAGAATGGAATGTTATTCAGTGATTAAAAATAAAAAACTATCAATCCATAAAAGTCATGATGAATCCTAAATGAGTATTTCTAAGTGAAATAAGCCAGTCTGAAAAGGCTGAATATTCTACAATCCTAATTATATGACAATCTGCAAAAGATAAAACTACAGAGACAGTAAAAAAAAAAATCAGTGGTTTCCAGGATTGGTCCAGGCAGTGTCGGGGGAAAAGTTTGAATAGGTGAATGACCAGGCATATTTTGGAATGTCGAAATGGTTCTGTATGATAATGTAGTTGTGAATATGTGACAATATGCATTTGTGAAAACTTTAGAGTGAGCTTTAATAGTGCCGATGTAAAAAAACCACTTAGGAAGTCAAGGGAGTTCCAGGATTGAATTCAGAATGTGACAAAACAATCTAACCGCGTGTATTACAAATGTATGAAGAAATCTCAGTGAAGGGAGTAAGGTAAGAGGTGTTGACCTAAGTAACTTTGGAAATGAGTGGAGTCTCTAAAAGTAAGATCAAAAGAAATGTTGCATAAACACTGTCTCACATTAACAAAGTTACTTCCCATGAGGCTACAGCTTAGCAATTATGAGGCCACTATACATGTATTCTGGAATTGAATAAGTAAGCAAACTCATGTCAGATGGTGGGAGCCATTTCCTTGCTGTTGGAGTGGGAGTTTATATATAAGCCAGGGAGAGGGCTAGAATGATTTGTGTGGTCATGAGTTGGAGACATCAGTATAAACTGATGTTTAGCTTGATATTGATACGGATGTTTATATATAGAAACGTGTGTATACACAGGCTGGTATATCCACATATATTTCCTTGCTCTATCAGCTGAACAGGCTTAGAAACAATGGTGCTCCAGCAGTTAGCACACCTAGGGTCCATAACTTGGTTTCTAATTCCGTTATCCGATAAAATGAATGAGGGCTCTTGAAAAAATAACTGATAGTAAAATTGGGGCAGGATATATGCAAGATAAGCTTGGGGCATCTTGCAATGTTAGAAAGTAAGAAAAAACTCAAAAGCAAGCAAACAAACAAATACTACCCCCCTACCCAGTGTTGGGGGGTATGTCAAAGGGACACAGAAGTCAAATGAAAGAGTTCCCAGTGGCCAAAGATGGCAAATTTGAACAAAATGAATTAAGTACTATTGGACCATAACTCAAATTATAAAATAAACCTCCATGAGTTCATACTGATATAAATAGATGTTTGAGTAAATAAGAGGGGAGAAAGTCAAATTTCCTATGCAGAAGAATTCTAAATAGTTTATATAGAAACTCTGACTTCAAAAAGTCGAGTGTAACTCCCTACTTTTAAAGTGTGGACTATGTATCATGACTTCCTTTCAAAGAATATAGTATGGAAAGTAGAGAGAAACAAGTCAGTACCTTCACAGCAGAGAACTTGACAAACAGCTCAGACAGCTGATCAAGGTCAACGCCAATAGTGATAAATCATGTCGATAGCATGTATCCTTGATAAGATGTAATGAAAATGACACTTCGCCTCTGTGGTTTTCCTCCTCGAACACATAACCCTAGTCTAATATGAGAAAAACACGAGACAAATCCCAATAAAGGACATTAAACAAAATAGCTGACAATAGACTTAGCAAATATGTTGAGGTTATTAAAAACCTAAAAGACGGCCAGGCCGCCTTTAATCACGCCTGTAATCCCAGCACTTTGCAAGGCCGAGACGGGTGGATCACGAGGTCAAGAAATCGAGACCATCCTGGTCAACATGGTGAAACCCCGTCTCTACTAAAAAAAACAAAATACAAAAAATTAGCTGGGCATGGTGGTGTGTGCCTATAATCCCAGCTACTCAGGAGTCTGAGGCAGGAGAATTGCCTGAACCCAGGAGGCGGAGGCTGCGGTGAGCCGAGATCGCGCCATTGCACTCCAGCCTGGGTAACAAGAGCGAAACTACGTCTCAAAAAAAAAAAAAAAAAAAGAAAAGAAAACAAAGAAAAAAAAAAAAAAAAAAACCAAAAATGAAATTATGAGAAAATGTAGCAGTCAGGAGGAGTCTAAGTAGACATGAGGAGAAAATGTAATATGGCAATCTGATTGGGATCCTGAGCCTAAAATATACTAAAATATATTAGAGAGAAAAAAAAAAACGAGAAAAGGGGATTAAAGTATTGACTTCAGTTAATAATAATGTATTAATTTTAACAAATGTACCATACTAATGTAAGATATTAACAATGGGGAAAATGGATTTGAGGTATACAGAAGCTCTCTGTGCTATCTTAGCAAATATTTGTAAATCTAAAACTTTAAAAAAATACAGCTTATTTAAAAGCTGTATGTGTGTGTGTGTGCGTGTGTGTATATATGTGTGTGTGTGTGTATTTGTGTATGTGTGTATATTATGTAAGCCATAACCATAACAAGCTATAGGGCTATAATTACATCAGGAAAAATAGAATTTAAGAAAAAACATTCATAATAGATGTGTGGTATGTCCATATAATGGCATGCTACTCAGCAACAAAAAGGTACAGATTACTGATACATACTACAACATGGATGAACTTCAAAAACATGCTCAATAAAAAAAACCTCATATCAAATGATTCCATTTATATGAAATGTCAGAAAAGGCAAATCACAGGGACAGCAAGTAGACTAACAGCTATTTAGGGCTGTGAGTGGGAAAGCGGTTAGGCTGCAATTAGGTAAGTGATCTTTATAGGGTGATGAAATGTTCTAAAATGGGATTATGGTGATGGCTCTGTACATTTGTTAAATGTTTTTTTTTTTTTTTTATTTGAGATGGAGTCTCCTTCTTTCACTCAGGCTGGAGTGCAGTGGCGTGATTTCGGCTCCCTGCAATCTCCGCCTCCCGGGTTCAAGCAATTCTCCTACTTCAGCCTCCTGAGTAGCTAGGAATAAAGGCATGCACCAATATGCCCAGCTAATTTTTGTATTTTTAGTGGAGATGGGGTTTCACCATGTTGGCCAGGCTGGTCTAGAACTCTGGACATCATGATCCACCTGCCTTAGCCTCCCAAAGTGCTGAGATTACAGGCATGAGCCACCAAGCCTGGCCAAATTTACTAAAATTTTCTAGTAAATTTACTAAAGTTATACTAGTAAATTTAAATTTACTGAAAATTATTCAATTGTATAAGTAATGTGAGCAAATTTTAGGAGTAAATTTTTTGATACATAAATTATATGTCAATGAAGTTGTTTAATACATTAAAAAATTTTAGTCTCGAGATAAGCTAATGATTATAAAACCTAGCCAGCATGCTGGGTGTAGTGGCACATGCCTGTAGTTCCAGTTACTTGGGAGGCTGAGTCAGAAGACCCCTTGAGCCAAGCAGTTCACGGATGTAGTGTGCATGATGAAGCCTGTGAATAGTCAGCCACTGCACTCCAGCCTGGACAATGTTGCAAGACCCTTGTCCAGAACAAAACAAAACAAAACCCTAAAACGAACTATAGCTAGCAAACAAATATCCTGTTTAATGATTTAAAAAAATACACATCTCCATGACTAAATCGACTAATATAAATATTTCATAGAAAATTCCAGGTAAAATTTAGTGTGTTCAATATAAATAAATGAAATGTTTATCTCCTTACTTCTCATTTGGATTATTTGCTTCTCAAAGACAGAATTATTCCTTGCAAGAAACAAATTTATACATACAATAGTTCTTTATTTAGTTGTTGTTTTATTGATTTCAAAGATTTATCCAACATTTGTGAAGGACCAAATGCTATAGCCTACTGAGGCTAAATCAGTGTAGCCCAGGTTGGAGATTCCAATCAGATGTCTTCTAGTTGGAAATGTTGCAAATTATATTATTGTTCAAAAATATTTACTCCCTTTCCATAACCTCATGGGAAGAATGTTTTTCCTCTATCGTTGATCTTGGCTTGGGCTTCTGTGACGTGCTTTGACCTCAGGCAGAATGTGCTTACATTCTATACCCTCGCATTAGCATAATGCAGCATAGCCTATGACTAAACAGGCTTTCCGGGAGGCTTCTGTGCTAGCAGCTTTCACCTATATTACCGTGAACCATAGAAATGGTAGATATTTGAACTTTTACTCTCTAAAAACCTGCTTTTTTTGTTTTTGTTTTTGTTTTTGACGGAGTCGTGCTCTGTCGCCAGGCTGTAATGTAGTGACGCGATTCCACCTCACTGCAACCTTCATCTCCCGGAGTTCAAGCAATTCCCCTGCCTCAGCTTTCTGAGTAGCTGGGACTGCAGGCGCGTGCCACCACCCCTGGCTAATTTTTGTTGTTGTATTTTAGTAGAGACGGGGTTTCACCATGTTGGCCAAGATGCTATCTCCTGACCTTGTGATCTGCCCGCCTCGGCCTCCCAAAGTGCTGAGATTACAAAGGTGAGCCACCAGGCCAGGCCCAAACCCTGCATTTTTATGTGGTTCATTCAACCCTCATCTTACCTCCTGCGGTAGTTACTTCTATATCTCCCTTTATGTCGATAGAAAAGTGAGGCTCAGGGAAGTTAGTAACTTGCTAAAGTACCTCTCTCACTAGTTGGCCACACTTCCTCTGGGGATTGTGTGACCCTCGTCCCCGCCCCAGCCCCGGGACCGCGCACAGGGGAGCCATGGCACCAGCAGCAGCCACACGCTCGCCCCCTACTGCTAGCATCCCTGCAGCGCAGCCCCTGCCCTCACTGCCTGCGGAAAGCTGCGGGTCTTGGAGCCTTGGTTGGTCTCCAGCCTTCTCCTGACTTTGGCTACGTGTCATCCTCCAGGCTCACCCCCAACCAGGACTCCTCCACTCCCCATTCCCAGTCCCTTCTCCCGGACATCCCTGGCCAGCTCCAGCAGCGCCGCCAACTTCAACTTCACGCCCTTTGTTTTCACTTCTTTTTTAACAGCAGAAGCACCGAACAAAATTCCTTAATAAAATTCCTCACTGGCCTCTGACACTAGATTACAAACATCAGGTGACTCAATATTGTGGGAGGAAATTGGGCCAACTTAGCTAAAATTAATCCAAGCGTTGCTATAATATGACCTAAGTCCCTCCCTTTATAAAATGTAGATAAGAATTGGTATAAACACTTGGGGCATCATGCTCAATAATACTACGGTATAACTAGTCTATCTGAATAAATATTACACATTTTCATTTATCCAACAAAGACTTATCCAGCCTCTCTTTTGTACCTCACTGAATTTAAATTTCTCATTCTGGAGAAGGAGACCCCTGGAATGCAGAAAATGTGGAAGGTTACACCTGCAGGTCTGTGATTGGCACATTGGAAGGACCCATGGGAATATGCCAATGTGAAATCTACATCACAGGGGTTAAGAAGACTTGACTAGAATACATTTCTATACGTTTATGGCATCTGTGCAATTTCTAGCTCCCCCCTCTTTTTATCATTTCGATTATAGGTTCTAACATGCAACTTTAAAAATGGTTTCTCAAGCTCATGGCCTTCAAGCCTAGAATTTGGTTGCTAGTACACAGTATGTGTTTTTGCTTGCTAGTAGTAAAAAATGTTTGAATGGGGAGATCTTTCCATGGAAAAAGTTTTCATAACATTGTTACAAAGAGCATTACTTACATTGTTAGTAATTCTAACAATGCAGAGGAATATCAAGATTTTTCAAATGTTTTACAAGGATGTTGGGGAAGGGAATGGTCTTTCCGACTCTGTCTCCATGATTCTATGTGTTAACTTACAAAGAGACCACACTGCGTTATTTTTGGTCAAGATAAGCAATTAAAAACTCACTGGTGCATACCGTGTCTTCCATATTTTCAAACTTAAATTCATTTCATACTTTCTTCTCTTTGAACAAAGAATTTACCGAGATAACCAGTATGTCGCAAGTCTTTCTACAATGAACCTCTTTCACAACCTTGGTTCCTGATTCTCCCGGCACACAGACTTTTTTCTTGAAGCATATTTGTTCCATTTGTGATTCTTCCCTGGCAAATAGTCCTGCCTCAAACTCAACCTACCTCTTGGGTATCTTTGTAAAATTCTTGCTGTCTTATACCTGATTAGATTGGACTGGTAGTGTTCGTTAGTTTGATTTTTGTTTCAGCATATCAAATTTTTTAAGGGGACAGAGTTACAATTTGGCTTCCCTTAGTGTACCATCAAAATGAATCCACTCTTCCTCCATTTTATTGCATAAAAACATAATGCAATATTATCATAGGCCCTTGTGCGCATGAGTGTTTCCTCCATCTCTTGAGGGTAGAGACCAATCTAGTTCCCCTCCTTATCCTCAGCAGCTAGGCGTAGGCCTGATACCTAGGAGACACTTGGTAAATGTCTTTTGAATAAATGAATGAACCAGTGATGAGTAAATTAATGGAAAGCCTGGCTTTTAACCAAGGGAAGCCCATGGAGGCTCAGCATGACTGTGTTTAGCATCTATAGGGCTAGCCAAGGCAGAAGATCAGAAACTGGAGATATTCGGGCAGCCTTTGGGAACTGGTGGTGCTACACAGAGAAGATCTCTCAGAAGGGAGAGAAGATAGTGAAAGACGATTAAATGGAGAAAGACGTTAAAGGCAAAGGGGAATAGAAAGGGCAAATGCAAAAGGAAACCTCATCTGTTAGACTGGGCTCTTTTCCTTTCCCTCTCCTCAGCTCCCACAGACAGCTTTGGGTCCCACTATTTTAAAAAATATAATTTATTTCATTTTACAATCTAGGAAGTTTGCAGCCACCAGCAGTTCTAGTAAAATTTCAGGTGTGACTGGGAATTTGGAAATCTCAATGGAGCTGTTAGTGTAGTGAACGTTGTATGTAAAATACATGCATACTTTTGATAGTACATGTGATGATATCTCTCTAAAATTGACCTCACTGGTTTCATTCTCAGCAAATTGACCAGGGCCGCTCAACATGGCTTTTATCATGCCTGATGTTAATGCATGTTCTCTTTTTACAATAAATTCATGGCCATCAGATGATATCAATTTGACATACATGGCATCAGGGCCTTCACAGCCACCATAGGTTTTCTCCTCTCCATCCATTTTGTTCTTATGGAATTCAATTTTGCTTCCGCAGGAACTTTAGTAGTTTCCCGGAGCTCTGTTTTTGCCCCAGCCAGAGTCTCACTCCTCAAGCCTACAGCCACCGCAGCTCAGTCCCTTTGTACCGCCACAGGTCCTATTCCAGGGCAGTTGCCCCACTTTGGGTCCCTTTTGAGTCCTTCTCCACTTGCTCCAATTCTGATCGGTTGAGTTGCTGTGCAGGATCAAGAACTGTAAGCAGTTGGAAAGCAGCAACTGAATATAAAGTTTAGGAATTCACTAAGCCAGTAAGTTTGAAGATAGGTTGAAATGCCAGGCTGCAGTATAATATTTCACTCCTCAAGAGGTGGGCCTTCCAAGCGACTACTTGTCTTTCCCCTGTGAAATGTGATATGCTCCCTGGAAACAGCCTATGAACAGCCCAGTTTCCATTTTTCCAAGGACTGCCAGCATTGCTGCTGGGCTGACTTGGAGGGTTGGCTGGGTTAGACTAAGGTTAAGCCAAGATCTTTTCAAAGTAATTGGCATTGCAGAATAACTACTGTACATTGCCAAAGAAGAGACGATGATGACAAAGAGATGTGACCTTAAAGGAATGTGACCCCAGTCTTTGACTGATTCTTTTTTGTCAAAATAGCCAAAAGAATGTCTGATCAAGGGTCATGTTGAAAGGAAAATTAAAATTTGCTTCGTTCTTTTTTAAAACATAAATTTTTTAAGAAGCAGAGAATAAACATTGATTGGAATACAGGGTTTCTTCTTGTTCAATTACAAAAATATTTTTAGGATCTCCAAATGTCCTCTGAAATCTGAGAGTTAATATTTAAAGTATAATTTTGACTCATTTAAATGAATAAGAAACTTGTCTTCTGGGCAAAATAAGAAATGTTGAGCTTGTCGCTTGGGTTCATGGTGGTGCCATCTGTGTCTCTGTACCCAAGTGCTCTGTGTATAGTGGGAGCTCAGTAAACATTTGGCGCCTGGGTGAAAGGACTGAAATTCAATTGCATTATAATCCTGACCTGCTGTTTCGGTTGGAAGGAGCTAATTCATTATATAGCTCATGGAGGCTCAGCATTCTGACTTATTTTGCTGTAGAAGCAGATAGAGTAAGAAGCTATGCCTAGCTTCTTACTTTAATGTCACCTATTTTCAAACATCATCATTAACAATAAATTTATTTTATTAGAATGTGTGTGTGCTTGTAGGAAAAGCTTGCAATGTAACAAAACCAGCTTTCTAAAAATAAATGATTCTATCTTTTGTAATCAGTACTTCATGCAGTTGTAGTCACTGCAAATGGGCTGGCAGATAGCTCCAAGATTCTGCAAAGTCACTATGATTTGAACTATATTCATAATGATATCGTTCTGTATTTTTCCTCACTGCAAAGTTATATTTTTTAAAATTCTATAAAATAAAAATGCAGAAAGGAATGAAAACTCATAGTTGCCACTATTAGTATATTCCTACAGTATTTTTTGGTGTAAGAATGTGGGATAGTAATAATTCTAAATTGGTCCTCCATGATTTCCACCCTCTAGTTATTTCTGTGATTACACTGTTACTTGGGAAAAGGAATTTTACAGAGGCAATCAAGTTACTGATCAGTTGACCCTAAAATAAAGAGATTATCAGAGTAAGCCTAACCTAATTACACGAAGTCTTTAAAAGCAGAGAGTTTTCTGTGGCTAGCTGAAGAAGCAGAGTCAGAGATTCAAAGCATGAGAAGCATTCAAAATGCATTGCTTTCTGGAAGATGGGAGGAGCCACAAATTAAGAAATGCCAGTGTAAAGTGTCTGTTCATATCCTTTGCCCACTTTTGAATGGACTTGTTTGTTTTCTTCTTGTAAATCTGTTTTAGTTCTTTGTAGATTCTGGATATTAGCCCTTTGTCAGATGGGTAGATTGCAAAATTTTTTCCCCATTCTGTTGGTTGCTGGTTCACTCTAATGATTGTTTCTTTTGCTCTACAGACACTCTGGAGTTTAATTAGATCCCATTTGTCTATTTTGGCTTTTGTTGCCATTGCTTTTGGTGTTTTAGCCATGAAGTCCTTGCCTATGCCTGTGTCCTGGATTATTTTGTCTAGGTTTTCTTCTAGGGTTTTTATGGTGTTAGGTCTTATGTTTATAACTTTAATCCATCTGGAGTTAATTTTAGTGTAAGGTGTCAGGAAGGGGTCCAGTTTCTGCTCTCTGCACTTTGCTAGCCAGTTTTCCCAACACCATTTATTAAACAGGTAATTCTTTCCGCATTGCTTGTTTTTATCAGGTTTGTCAAAGATCAGATGATTGTAGATGTGTGACATTGCCTCTGAGTCCTCTGTTCTGTTCCATTGGTCTGTGTCTCTGTTTTGGTACCAGTACCATGCTCTTTTGATTACTGTGGCCTTGTAGTATAGTTAGAAGTCAGACAGCATGATGCCTGCAGCTTTATTCTTTTTGCTTAGGATTATTTTGGCTATGCAGGCTCTCTTTTGGTTCCATATGAAGTTTAAAGTGTTTTTTTTCCAGTTCTGTGAAGAAGGTCATTGGAAGCTTGATGGGGATAGCATTGAATCTATAAATTACTTTGGGCAGTATGGCCATTTTCACGACATTGATTTTTCCCAACCATGAGCATGGAATGTTTTTCCAACTGTTTATGTCCTCTCATTTCATTGAGCAGTGGTTTGTGGTTCTCCTTGAAGAGGTCCTTTACATCCTTTGTTAGTTGTATTCTTAGGTATTTTATTTTCTTTGTAGCAATTGTGAATGGGAGTTCACTTTTGATTTGGCTCTCTGTTTGTCTGTTATTGGTGTATAGGAATGCTTGTGATTTTTGCACATTGATTTTGTATCCTGAGACTTTGCTGAAGTTGCTTATTAGTTTCAGGAGATTTTGGGCTGAGACAATGGGATCTTCTAAATATACAATCATGTCATCTGCAAATAGGGATAATCTGACTTCCTCTTTTCCTTATTGAATACCTTTTATTTCTTTTTCTTGCCTGATTGCTCTGGCTAGAACTTCCAATACTATATTGAATAGGAATGGTAAGAGAGGGCATCCTTGTCTAGTGCCAGATTTCAAAGGGAATGCTTCCAGTTTTTTGCCCATTCAGTATGATATTGGCTGTTGGTTTGTCGTAAATAGCTTTTATTATTTTGTGATATGTTACATTAATACCTAGTTTATTGAGGGTTTTTAGCATAAAGGGCTGTTGAATTTTGTTGAAGGCCTTCTCTGCATCTATTGAGACAATCATGTGGTTTTTGTCTTTGGTTCTGTTTATGTGGTGGATTATATTTATAGACTTGTGTATGTTAAACCAGCCTTGCATCTTCAGGATGAGGCCTACTTGATCATGATGAATAAGCATTTAGATTTGCTGTTGCATTCTGTTTGCTAGCATTTTACTGAGAATTTTGCATCGATGTTCATCATGGATATTGGCCTGAAGTTTTCTTTTTTAGTTGTATCTCTGTCCGGTTTTTGTAGACGTCTATGAGGCCAACAAACATATGAAAAAATGTTCATCATCACTGGTCGTTAGAGAAATGCAAATCAAAACCACATTGAGATACTATCTCACACCAATTAGAATGGCAATCATTAAAAAATCTGGAGACAGCAGATGCTGGAGAGAATGTGGAGAAATAGGAACACTTTTACACTGTTGGTGGGAGTGCAAATTAGTGCAACCATTGTGGAAGACAGTGTGGCGATTCCTCAAGGACCTAGAAATAGAAATTCCATTTGACCCAGCAATCCCATTACTGGGTACATATCCAAAGAATTATAAAGTGTTCTATTATAAAGACACATGCACACATATTTTCATTGCAGCACTGTTTATAATAGCAAATGCCTGGAACCAACCCAAATGTCCATCAACAATAGACTGGATAAAGAAAATGTAGTACATATACACCATGGAATACTATGCAGCCAAAAAAATGATGAGTTTGTGTCCTTCATAGGGACATGGATGAATCTGGAAACCATCATTATCAGCAAACTGACACAAGAACAGAAAATCAAACACTGCATGGTATCACTCCTAGGCAGGTGTTGAACAATTGGAACATATGGACACAGGGAGGTGAGCATCACACACTGCAGTCAGTTGGGAGGAACTAGGGGAGGGATGGGGGAGTGGGGAAGGTAGGGAGGGACAGGGGGTGGGGAGGGTGGGGAGAAATAATGTGGGGAGAAATATCAGATATAGGTGATGGGGGTAGGAAGGTAGCAAACCATCTTGCCATATATGTACCTATGCAGCAATCCTGCATGACCTGCACATGTACCCCAGAACCTAAAGTACAATTAAAAAAAAAAAAAGAAAGAAAAGAAATGCCAGTGACATCTAGGAATGGAGAGTGAGTCCTAGCCAATAGTCAGCAAGCAGATGGAAACATCAGTCCTACAAGCAAAAAGAACTGCCCAACAACCTGACTAAACTTGGAAGCAAATCCTATATGGTATCTTGGGCTTGGCCGACATCTGGATTTCAGCCTTTGTGACCCTCAGCAGAGGACCCAGTTAAAATGTACCAGACGCCTGACCCATGAAAAATGTAAGATAAGAAATATGTATTGTTTGCAGCTGTTAAACTTGTGATGGTTACACAGCAATAGAGACTAATGCAGATTTTGATACAGAAAGTTGATACTGCTGTAGTTGATACCTAAAAGGTGGAAATAGTTTTGGGATTAGGCAGTAACTGGAGGCTAGAAGAATCTTGAGGAACATGATAGAGAAAGGCCAAATTGTCTCAAATGGACTGTTAGTAGAAATATGGATATTAAAATACAACTCGGGAGAGCTTAGAAGAAGATGAAGAGCATTATAGAGCAAACGTAAATTGCCTTAGGGAAAGGCTAAATCATCATGAACAGACTGTAATTAGAAATCTGGGCTTTTAGAATACTGTTGGGGAAGACTCAGAAGAAAGTGAGAATCATATTATTGGAACTGGACGAAGGAGAATCCTTGCTATGTGGTGATAGAAAGCTTAGAAAAATTGTGTCCTGCAGTTATGTGGAAAGCAGAGTTTGTAAATGACAAACTTAGATATATAGCTGAGGAGATTTCCAAGCAAAGTGTTAAAGGTGCTGGCTTATTTCTCTCTTATTACTTATACTAAAATGTGAGAAAAATAATAACTGGAGGGAAAATCTGGTAAACATAAAGGGATCAGGACTGGAGGATTTTGAGACTGTTCAGCCTTTCCAGATGGCAAGAAATGCTACGAGTCAGAAATGGCTTCCAAAAGTATGGCATAGAGAATAGAAAGACTGTGCAACTGTCCAGCTTTTACTGAAGCCTCAGAAAGACTGACAGGTCAAAGTGTTCAGTCATAACAAAGGCTCTTCTAAGATATTAAGGATGTGACACACAGATCCTATCAGTGAAACTAGAGGGCCTCTCAGAAGCTTAGGAGTGTTGTCCCTCAGTCATCTCAGCAGAAGCCAAAGGTAGAGCAGGGAACATCTCAAAAAGGTTTGTGGTCATGGCTTTTGTCTAATGGAATAAAACTCTGAAAAATTCAGGCAAGGACCATTCAGTGGGTTGAATAGTTTCTTCCTATAATTCATGTCTTCCTTGGATCTATGAATAGTTAGGGGTGACCCAGACCACATCTTCAGTATCAGGACCCAGTGGAATAGCAATTTCTTCCTAAAAGTGCCATGACATCAGTGAAGTGTATACATCATACCTTTTTTGAATTACAGTGTGTATAACTATTATTCTATGTCTGCCCCACTATTGTATATTTGGAGTATTGTAGGATCATAACATATCTCTTTAGTTTTACAGGTCCTCAGATAGAGAGGACTTGTTCCTGGGAACTGCCATTATGGATTACCCTAGAGCCCCATACTTTACTGATTTCTACATGATGTACATGATGGGATTTGGGCCATATGAGCTATTGAGATTTAGATGAGAATTTTTGTTTTTGAGTTGATACTCTAATGGGAATTTGGGGAATTTATGGACATGACGAATCAGGGGACTACAGGGTGGATTGTGGTAGGCAGTGTTCTAAATAGCTCCTTAATCCCTGTCCTCTAATGTTACTGCCTTATGTTGTATTACACAAAAAAGGAATTTTACAGATGCTATTAAGGTGACTAATCAGTTGACCTTAAAATAAGATGTCATCCATGTGGGCCTATCCTTATTACATGGGCCCTTTAAAACAAGAGAGTTTTCTCTGGTTTGTTGGGGAAGCAGAAATCAGAGATTAAAAGTATGAGAGAAATTCAGTATGTCATTGCTGTCTTGAAGGAGGAATCTACAAATGGATGAATTTGAGTGACCTCTAGGAGCTGAGACTGACTCCTGGCCAACAGTGGCAGTGGAGAATGGAGACTTCAGTCCTACAACCACAAGAACTAAATTCTGCCAACAACCTGAACGAGGTCAGGAGAACATTCCTCCCCAGAGGATCCTGATGAGAACATGGCTCAGCTGACATCTTGATTTTATTCTACCTTTGAGACCCTGAACAGAGGGCCCAGCTAAAATATGCTGGATACCTGACCCATGGAAACTGTAGATAACCTGTATTATTTACTGTTATAAGTTTGTGATAATTTGTTATGAAACAATAGAATAAAAAAAGAAACAATAGAAAACTAATGTGTGTGTCTTTGTAAAACTATGAGTATAATGCTATGCATATATATTCTTTTCAATAGAAGAGATCACGTTTTTACAAAACCATATAAAATTAGTCTAGCCAGAGATTTATAGGATGATATTATTGTAAGTCAGTAATTAAATGAAATTTATAGTACAGACAGAATTCCAATTTTTAAAAAGCCCTTAATAAAGAGGGATAGCTCTAGGTACAAGCTTCTTATTGCTTTATCCTTCCGGGAGAATCTGTGAGAAGGATACCTCATTAGTATTACTCTCAAAAGGTTGAAATCTCAATAAAACAAAATCAGTTCAACAAGTTATCATTTAGCACCTTATATGTGCTACCAGACACTAAGTTTAGCACTGGGGGTTGGATGATGTTGTTTTTGTCATCCAGGACTATGATAAATAAATTTATGTTGTTTATGAACAGGGATAAGCTTATAAGAGCAAAGGACATTAAAAAAGCAAAGGATACATTCTCAGCTTTGGATGCTCAGATACCTCACCTAAGGGAGATGAGGTGAGTGTGGCTTCTTACTCCTGTTCTTTTTTTTTTTTTTTTTTTTAGTATTGTCTTACGTTTTAGGTCTTGGGGTACATGTGAAGAACATGCAGGATTGTTGCATAGGTACACACATGGCAATGTGGTTTGTTGCCTTCCTCCCCATCACCTATATCTGGCATTTCTCCCCGTGTTATCCCTCCCGAACTCCCCACCCCTGGCTGTCCCTCCCCTAGTTCCCCCCGACAGACCCCAGTGTGTGATGTTCCCCTCCCTGTGTCCACATGTTCTCATTGTTCAACACCCACCTATGAGTGAGAACATGCAGTGTTTGATTTTTCTGTTCTTGTGTCAGTTTGCTGAGAATGATGGTTTCCAGCTTCATCCGAACAATTCCAGAAGGCATGAGATGGCATTTTACTTGTCCAGGTTGAGGTCATTTCAGGTTGCAGGTTGCAGGAAGCCATAAGCAGGAGCTTATCAAGTCTTTAATACCTCAAATTATGCACTCCCAACCTCCAGTATAATAACTGGAGGGAAAGGCTGGAGAAACTGCCTTTTCTAGGAATGGAGTAAGCTCCATTTCCTAGATCTAACTAGTGTGGATTCCAGGAACAATTTCTTACTATGCCAATGGTGCCACTCTTGCTACATTGGTCTAGGTTTTAGAATAATGGCAAAGTATCTCATATAAGTAGTTACATTAGAATGATGAGCAGCATAAAATTGCTCAAGATATAGCAAAGCTTAACACAAAGACTTGGCTAAGGTTCTCAACACCTGGTTCATAAAGTATTCCTGGGAATTAGTTGATGTCAGGGATTAATTAAGTGATATAAGTGCTTAATTCAATGCCTGGCATACATTTATTACTCAATAAATGTTAGTTGCTATTGTTGTTAATTACTGTGATTTACTTGTTATTGCCCTTATGGTAGCAACTATGATTGCAAAAGAATTAAAGACAAGAGGGGCTGATACTGGGAAAAAGAAGAAAGGGCCAGGCTCGGTGGCTCACGCCTATGATCCCAGCACTTTGGGAGGCCGAGGCGGGTGGATCACGAGGTTAAGAGATGGAGACCATCCTGGTCAACATGGTGAAACCCTGTCTCTACTAAAAACACAGAAATTAGCTGGGCATGGTGGCGCACGCTTTTAATCCCAGCTACTCGGGAGGCTGAGGCAGGAGAATTGCTTGAACCCAGGAGGTGGAGGTTGTGATGAGCCGAGATCGTGCCACTGCACTCCAGCCTGAGTAACAAGAGCAAAACTCCGTCTCAAAAAAAAAAAAAAAAAAAAGAAGAAAGGATCTGGAAGTCCTGAATGAGGCTGAAGAAATAATAGACTAGGAATAACTAAATGAGAATGTTGGGAGAAAGGTTGCGGTTAGTGGATGGAGTTTCGAATGTAATATTCAGGAGATAGAATAATTCCAAGTAATGACAGAAGTATAGCAAACTAGGATGGGTGTGGCATATGTGTGATGTGAAATGGGAGATGGGAGAGGAAGCTCATTAGCACTAAGGAAGCCAAAGGAGTCTGGAGAATCAGGTAGGGTATCCATGTGGCTTTGGAACCCTCTCAGGATAACAGCACAATGTGGATTACAGGAGGCAATGATCACTGCTAACATCTTTAAAAAAAAAAAGGAAATACCTGCGTCTTTATTGGTAGGATTTCCATGCTGGAGAGTGTCTCCAGATCCTGTCATTTCAGCAGAGTACTCTGTGCACTGTTTATAGCCTTGTTGGAATTCTCTCTACCGTCTAACTTCAGGAAGTGACTCTACTGTGCCAGTTACCAGAAAGCTGATGGGGTAGTGTATTCAGGCCCGAGCTCGCTGTTCTGTTCGGAATACATCTAATGTACCCATTCTTCCAGCCCAGGCAAACTGTCCTGCTTTAGGAAGAAAGACCCCTTACGAACTTCTTGATCCAACATCACGAAATCTGTTCTCATTCTAATTTAGAATGCAGGGACTTGTGTGGTGACTCATATGTTTGAAAAGCTCAAATTAAGTAGTGGTGATCTCAACCGTGATTCACTGATGAGAACTGGAAAGTGATTCATCTCCTTTATGTGCTTGTCCTTGGGAGTCTCCAGGCTTAAAGGTCTTCCAGAAAACATGCTGCACTCAAGGAAAGACACTGGGCCCTCCTGTGGCAGTATTTTAGCAATTACACAGTCATTCACTGCATTTTTTTTTACAAGATCATTTCCTTTATTTCATTTTATTCTCATCTACAGTCCACAAAATGCTCTTTTGCTGTAGTGACTCATTGCTAATAAGTGAAAAGTCAGTGATGTTTTTAGGTCAAAGGTGGATGTACATTTAGTAAACCATTGGTGCAGACTCGCAATTTTCTAATATTTAGGGATAACTGTATTTTTCTTAGTATCTACTTGTTATCAAAGAGTAACTTTTTCCTAGCATGACAGAGTTTAAATGTATTTTATATGCTACTGTCAGAGGTGTTTAAGCCAGAGCAACTCCATCTTGCATAGTGACTGGTAAAATAAGACTGAGACCTACTGGGCTGCATTCCCAGGAAGTGAAGGCATTCTTAGTCACAGAATGAGATAGGAGGTTGGCACAAAGATCTTGTTGATAAAAACAGTATGTGGTAAAGAAGCCTGCCAAAACCCACCAAAACCAAGATGGTGATGAAAGCGACCTCTGGTCTCCTCACTGCTCATTACATGCAAATTATAATGCATTAGTATGCTAAAAGACACTCCCACCAGTGCAGTGACAGTTTACAAATGCCATGGCAACTTCAGGAAGTTACCCCATATGGCTTAAAAAGGGGAGGATCCCTCAGTTCTGGGAATTGCTCACCTCTTTCTTGGAAAAGTCATGAATAATCCACCTCTTGTTTAGCTTATAATCAAGAAATAACTATAAGTATCTTCAGTCCAGCAGCCTGAGCGGCTGCTCTGCCTATGGGGTAGCCATTCTTTATTGCTTTACTTTCTTAAAGCTTGCTTTCACTTTCCTCTAAAGACTTGCTCCAAATTCTTTCTTGCGCAAGATCCAAGAGCCCTCTCTTGGGGTCTGGATCAGGACCCCTTTCCAGTAACAATACTAGGAGGAAATAATAATTAAAAAACTAGTTGAAAGTTAAGATGACTTATACTAAAATAAACCAAAGATTCTTGAATACTGATAATAGCACTGTGTGGAATTACAAATCAACACCCAAAGATCTACCTGACAATGTAAGATCATGTAATTTAACCAGATTTTTTTTTTTTTGTGTCTACTATGCTGAGCATCCAGAACGAGATAGGAACTACTCCTGTAAATTTTCCTAGTGCCTTGTTTAAAAACGCTCACTATAGCCCTGGTAAACAATCAATTCCAATGCCCTCTGATGCAGCTGTAACCATGTCCCCGGTTTGTAATGTTTCTAGTTAACATTTACAGTGAACTCATTTTGTGATAGAAACTGATCTAAATACTAAACATGAATTAATTTATTTAATCTTTACAACAACTCTAGGAAGTAAACAGTTACTATCCTTATCCCTGTTTTTATATACAAAGAAACTGAAGCATAGAGACTTTTTTCTAATACATAGAAATGAAATTAATTTATTTTCGTAATCATGAGATACATACAATGTTGTGACATGTACTGCTTTATTTTTTTAAATTTTTATTTTTATTCAATAGTTTTTGGAGTACAGGTGGTTTTTGATTACATGGATAATTTTTCCTTCTTTTTTTTTCCGTTAAGGTTTTCACTGAGCTCATATGTTGTAACTAATAATAATGCAGTAATATGTCACCTATTTGTAATTCTGCAATCAGGTTATTTCAGCTCAACAAATACTCTCTGAGCACATGATTTGTGATAGGCATTGTGCTGGAGACTGAGAATACGATGGTGAATAAAGTAGTCATATTTAGGACCCCAATGGAGTTTATATTCTGGCAGGGAAGACATATATTAAGTCACTAATTGTAAATATGTCAAGTGTTTCACTAAATCAGCTATGGGAGCATGTACTAGGGTGTTTACCTTGGTCTAGGAGTCAGAGATATTTTTATTGAAGAAGTGATACTTTAGCTATAACTTGAAGGTTGAATAGGAGTTAGCTAGGTTGAGGGCAAAGTGTAAGGGTGAGGATGGGATTTCCAGGGAGATGGGAATATAGCTGGACAGGGCTGTAGGTGCAAAAGTCTACATATATTTGGAAAACTGAGAGAAGTTCAATGTAACTGGATCAGAGGGTGCAAGGGCAAATGTGGGACAATAAGACTGGAAGGTCAGGAAGTGGCAAGATTGTGAGCCATGTAATGGATTTGAGATGTTATCCTGTGGATGGATAGAAATAATTAAAGAGTTTTAAGTGGAAAGATGACAATCAGATTTCTTTTGTGAAATATTATTCTATGATAATCTCTTTAGAAACTCAATAGTTAAAAACCAGGAATAAATAGCAAATGCTCCTAAGCAGACTAAATCT